TTGATCATATGTCTTGGGTTTTCTGGCTGTAGGGACTTTTGTTGGTTTTTTAAAGGATCATGGCATTGAGCATTGGACCACACAGGCTTGTTCTCTTGAAAAAATGTCATAATAATAATAATAATAATAATATTTATATACCGCCCAATGGTTGCCCAATCTGGGCGATTTACAACATAAAACAATTACAGTAAAAGCATATCCCTCCCCCCCCTTCCCTCTGCTCTGGGGAAATGGTACTAAGGCTGGTGGCTTCCCAAAAGCATCCAAGTTACTATAATGTTATTGATGGGCCCAGAGTCCTCCGCTTGTCCCCCACATACCGCCTCAGCCACTGCTAGTGCCGGGGAGGATGTTCCAGCAGGCTTTTATGCCTGAGTTCTCCCGGCTCTCGCTGCTTCTGAGGCCGATGCAGGGTAGCCCAGGTGTTATCAATGGGCACAGAAAGAGTCCTCCACTTGTCCTCCACCCACCGCCTCAGCTGCTGCTAGTGCCAGGGAGGATGTTCCAGGGGGCTTTTATGCCCAAGTTCTCCCGGCTCTCGCTGCTTCTGTGGCCGATGCAGGGTAGCCCAGGTGTTATCAATGGGCACAGAAAGAGTCCTCCACTTGTCCTCCACATGCTGCTTCAGCCGCTGCTAGTGCTGGAAAGGATGTTCCAGCGGGCTTTTATGCCCGAGTTCTCCCGGCTCTCGTTGCTTCTGAGACCAAAGCAGTGCAGCCCAGGTGTTATCAATGAGCACAGAAAGAGTCCTCCACTTGTCCTCCACATGCTGCCTCAGCCACTCCTACCCACAGCATGGCATAGAGAATGAACAGAACTCACAAGGAGATAGCAGTCACCATGCTTTTCAAGACTAATATGCCCAAATGTTATTGATCTGAAGCCATCATGACTGCTACATACCTGTGTAACCAACTGTCAACTAAATCCAAAGATGTATCCCCATTCCAGTTATGGAATGGAGTTAAGCCTAAATTAAACCATTTGAAGGTTTTTGGAAGCAAAACATTTACCTATATTCCCAAGAAGAAAAGAGGTAAACTTGACTGAAGGTGTGAAGAGGGAATTTGTGTTGCTTATGCTAGAAATGGTTATACAATTCTGAATCCAGATGGATTTACAATAAAATTAACAAGTACTGTTTATGTTGATGAAAGACCACAGCCGAAATGTAATCCAAACTAAGATATCTATTCAGATTTATTTACAGTTGGGAAGACAGTTATTACAGTCTTTCATCCTCTAGAGCTCTTTCATCCAGAAAGAGCTATACCTGCAGTGGACCAGCCTAACAATGAGGAACCGGATGGCTCACAAGAAGCAGAGCCAGGTATCCAAGTCCAGGAAAGTAGGTCAGAATGCTCCAATAAAGGTGTGCCACCTTACAGATTCACTTAGCAAGCCACAGAGGAAATAATTCCACAACCTTCTGATTGGAAAAAGATCAAAGGACTGCCAAAGACAGATTCTGAGAAGTGGATATAAGCCACTAATGAAGAGATGCAATCGTTATATAAAAACAAGACATGGACTTTGTCAGAATTGCCAGAAGGAAATTGGCAATTGGCTATAGATGAATCTTTACCAAAAAGTAAGGGGAGATTCAGAAGTACAAAGCAAGACTTGTGGCTTAAGGCTACAGTCAAAAGTATGGTGAGGATACAATGAAACCATCAAAACTCTCCTAGCTGTTGCAACCTGCAAGCAAATAAATGCTCAATATCTGGATGTCTGAACAGCTTTTCTTTATGGTGATCTCTCTGAACTACTATTTATGGAACAGCCTCCATGATTCCAAGTTCCAGGAAAATAACATCTTGTATGCAAATTGCAAAAGACCATTTATGGTTTAAAACAGGCCACAGGCCATGGAGTGAGAAACTGAACCAGCTTCTTATCAAAGAGAGATTCACTCTAGGTACTGTTGACAAATGTGTGTACAAGAGATTCAGAAATAACAAGTGGGCTTACATCACAATTTATATTGATGATGTGAACCTGTGCAGTGAGGACAAAGTAGATAGTGAAAAGGTAATCCAGAATCTCAGGAAAGAGATTGATATCAAGAATTTGGGATACATGTCACACTATCTTGGAGTATAAATAGAAAGAAACAGTGATGGAAGTTTCTTCCTTAATCAGAAGCAGGACATAATGGATTTTCAGGTCTGTCTTGGTCTGACAAATGCAAATCCTATGCAAATCCAATGGAAATAGGATTCTTAAATGACACTAAAGAATCTGAACCTTTGCAAAATGGAGACAAGTATAGGACTGCATTTGGAAAACTCCTATACATAGCCAATTTCACCATACCTGGTATTGCAAATGCTGTTGGCATGCAGAATGGTCAATTTTCCTACTGAAAGAGTTTTCATTGCATTGAAGAGAGTTGCCAGATACTTAAAAGGAACAGCAAATCACAGACTGATGCTGCCAGCGTGTAACCAACCACAGCTGATCGCCTACATGGATGCAGACTGGGCTGAAGACCTAGCAGACAGATAACCAGTGGAAACCTGATCTGGTGGAGGAACTGTAAATTGGAAAAGTAAAAAGTAATCCACAATTACAGATTCTTCTACTGGTGCTGAGTGTGTTTCAGCAAAGGCAGTATGTGATGAAATCACATGGCAACACAATTTACTTCTGGACTTTGGGATAACAGAGGCCAAACCAACCATTTTGATGCAAGATAAACAAAGATGCATCAAGATTTCTTAGTGAAAAGCCACTCAAGAAGAATATAGGATTGCCTTCCACAAAATTCAAGAGATGTGTCAAAATGGACTTGTCCAGTTACAGTTCTGAAACACTGAAGTGATGATTACCGACATCCTTACTAAATCTCTACCAAGAGATTGGTTCCAGAGAGTATGCAAAGGGATGAAGATCATTGATGTTGGTCCAAGAGAATGAGAAGGGGATTGTTGGAAGATTTTTGCATTCTTCCCCCCCCCTCCTTAGATAGATAGAGATTTCTGCTTGCAGACTCCTACCTTCTCTCTCTCTTATTCATATTAACTTTGGGCCTTTGCAGACTGCCAGAAATAATGTATCTTGAGTCCACTTTAACTGCCCTGGCTCAGTGCTAGGGAATCATGGGAACTCTAGTTTATTGTGGCACCAGAGCTCTCTGACAGAGAAGGCTCAATGTTTCAGAAAAAAATACAGTTCCCATGATTCTCTACCAGTGAGCCAGGACAGTTAAAGTGGACTCAAGCTTCATTATTTCTGGTAGTCTGCAAAGGCCCTTTGTGACTTAGGTCACTCCCTCTTTGGGACTAACAGTCTTTCTCTCAAGCTTTTCATCTGAGTTATTCCATCTTCCTGCTCTCTCAAGTTTGTTTGGAAAGATCGTGAGATAAATATTTCTATTTGAATTATTCACTAGTTAGCTATAGCCTGTTATGTAAATACAGATTAAAGCCATTGTTTTTAAACTACAAGCTATGTGGTTGTTGTTTTTTGAGCCAGTATCAGTTCTTAGGAAAGCATAGTTAGGCAAGGTCACATTTCTGCTTTTATAGCCAGACTCTAACAGGCTTGGTTTTCATGTTTTGAATATCTTTGTTTCCTTACTAAAGGCTAAAGCCTTGGGAAACTTAAATTACCCCACAGTCACATGTTAGCCATTGATAAAAGGAACCTCTGTTATGGGAAGCTATAATGCAACATCTCTCCCTATGTAGCTGTGATTATTTTAATTACATCAGTAATGTAGCCGAATATGCGAATGTTTACCATGATTACTTAAAACTACCATAGCTATGTTGTCTCAATCAAATAGTGTTATCATATTTAAGGGAGCCCTTTTGGTTTCATTTTTACCACTAGTAAAGTGAACCCTTGGTATCTGGAGGGGGTTGGTTCTAGGATCCCTCATGAATACCAAAATTTATGGATGCTCAAGTCCCATTATATACAGTGAGGGAGTAAAATGGTGTCCCTTATTTAAAATGGCAAAATCAAGGTTTTCTGTTTGGCTTATTTATTGAATATTTTCAAGCCATGGATAGTTGAATCCATGGATGCAGAATCTGTAGGTACATATTATTATTATACTACTACAACATCTGAATGTAACACCTAAAACAGTATGAAAAGACTGTATAAATCTTAGATGGGATGGAGAAAGAGGGAAACTTATGTGCATAGAAAACTTTGGCCTAAATACTATTCATAGTACTGACTAGAATAGACTCATTGCATCAATTGGATTTACCTATGTGTTGACTCACTATTCAGCAATTGATTTACTCTGTCTGGATTTATACAACTGATTCCAGTTTATAAGACTAATTGTAATTTTTTGCAAATGACAGTTGTAAATGTAATTCTGTAAAATCTAAATTTGAAGCTGCTGTAGGACAGCATAACTAATGTAATCCCATATGTACATGTTTGATGTAGTCAGCTTTGCCAATATTTATCCCTTGTTTGGAAATGCAGGATCTGAATCTAGCCCTCCTGTTTTTCTGTCAAAACTGATCTCGCAAAGGCTGGGCAAGAATAATGTGGGAGCAGCCTAGAGTATTCTGACCTCAGATCTGCCCTGACATCACCTCAGTACCTGGGCACTCTACTATGATGCTAGGCAGCTGTTCACATACACGTTCCACTGTGCTATCTGGCGCTGCCACTAGTGGTGTATGTCACTCACTGTGGGTCAAAACAAGGTTTCCAGCATCTATCACATGGTGGGGTACCTCATTCTAACCTCAGAGGAAGTAATGTATGCCAGCAGCAACAGGCAGAACAGTGGGATGCATTGTAAACAGCCATGCAGCATTGCAACAGAGGGCTCCAGATCTTCTGGGAAAATCCAAAGCAATCTGTGAGTTTTTTACACCATTTTAAGGGGTGTATATAGAGTGAGAGCTAGTGCAGCACAATGGTTTGAGTTTTGGACTATGACTCTGGAGACCAGGGTTCAAATCCCTGCTAATCCATGGACCTTAGGCAAGTCACTCTCAGCCTCAGGGGGAGGCAATGGCAAACCTCCTCTAAACAAATCTTGCCAAGAAAACCTGATAGTAGGTCTCAATAAGTCTGAAATGACTTGAAGACACAAAACAACAAACAATATGGCGGGTTCAGTGCTGAACTGGCACAACATTGTCCAGGCAGTTAATACCATAACTGGGGACTGAGCCCTGTGTTGTTAACAGGGTGAACATGTTTTGTTTGACCTGTGAAGACAGGACCTCTCATCAGTATATATATGTTTGTTTATGTGCATGAGTGTTCATGCTTTGTTTACTAATAAAGGATGATTATTCTGACCTGTATTCACAATTGATTTAATAATCATAATCTCTATCCACAGTTCACATGAGCATTCCAAGCTTGGCAGATTCCTTTTCCAAACCAGAAAGCTGAGAGTTTTTGGCAGCTATGTGTTGCAGTATATAGAGAAACGTTACCAATTGTTGATATCTTCTGTCGCAATTATTCGAAATGTATTGTAGTCTTTATAATATATATTTTCTGAATTTGAATTTCCCATGAGACCTTTGAATTTATATTCCTCAAAGAAAATCTTCCCATGTATTCTAGCAAGATACTTTTGAAAAGGAAAATTCTCAAAAATTGCACTGGGCAAGCCAAAGCTCTTAGGCACACAAAAGAGAACTCTTTGGGTCCCAGCAAGTAGATGTCCAAAATAAAATTTGGCAACATAAAATGAAAATATGAATGTGGGAAATCATTTATCCCAGTTTCTACCAAAAAGAAACCCTAATGTTTTGGCTTTAAAATGAGACATCTATAAATACCTGTTTTGATGGTTATCAGAAAACCCCTTGGAAAGTTTCTATCTTCTATAACCTGTTTTTTGCTTTGCATTTAAACACAGAAAATATGTTGCACTGAAAATGCAGCAACTCCCCCAGGAAAGCACTCTAGCAGCAGTCAGTATTCAGTTATTCACCATGTGTCTGCTGTGAGAAATATTTATCTCCCCTCTCCCTTAGGTAGCAATGGCTTTCCCTCTTCTAAAAGAATGTCTACTGGTCAGTGTATTTCTAATTCTCTCAGAACAGTCATTTACATATCAAAGGCCTGGGATGAGTAAACATGCTTCATGGTTCCATCTGTGATTTCATTCCCCATTGAGATTGAAAATAAAATCGGAGTGCTAGTGAAAAAAAATGTTTGTCCTTCAAGTCCATACCGTTTTTCCTTTGAATTTTCACAGTGAGTTATGGCATATTTCATTTTTTCCAGACTTGCAACAGTCTCTTCCTAACTTAATACATGTTTTCATAAAGCAAGCACTGCAGAAAGAACAGTCTAACAAACTTAAAAACAAACTCATTGCAGTTTTTGCAATGAGAAAAAACAAATTCTCACTTTGTTTCCTGACACCCCAAAATACTATATTCATTTATTTGTACTTGTAGAAACAATGTTGATTGTGGAGGGTGGTGGTTAAGATTTATTTATTTATTTATTGTATATCCCTCTTTCTCCCAAATGGGATTTTGGTTTTGCTAAATAACAGATAAAACCCCAAGAGATTCTTTATTTCATTAAGAGAGCAGCCCTATTATTTCTTTATTTCATTAAGAGAGCAGGCCTATGCATGTTTACTCAGAGGTAAATGATATTGTGTTCTGTATCACAAGCATCCTCCCTCCATTACAACTGCCACTGCTGTTTTCATGGACTGCCCTGGGTCTGACTTTGCTTTAGAAGCAGAGTCAGACTCTGAGCCTGAGGAGGAGACAGATCTGGGGTTACCTGGAGGCTCTGTAATCTCAGAGGAGAGGCAGGAGGCTGCAGAGGGAGAGGCATCATCTATGCTACTGGTACTAGGACCTGTGGAGTGAAGACAAGCCAAGGAATCCTTGAAGCATTCATCTAGACTAGAAGCTAAAAGGAGAGCTAACTGCGATCAGCTGAGGTAAACAGAACAGCTGTGGCTTCTGAGGAAAAGAAGAGCCATCGTTGCCTAGTCCCAGCAGCAGGTGAAGTGTCCTCCATCCATTCAAACTGCCACAGCTGTGACCTCTGAGGGACAGAAAAGCCATCGTTGCCTACTCCCAGAAGCTGGTGAGGCATCTTCCCTCCATTCCAACTGCTACTGCAGTGGCCTCTGAGGGAGAGAAGAGCCATCATTGGAGAGACTGAGGACCACAGAGACCACCAGGGGGCTGTAGAAAGGAAGAAGCTGCTGTGTTTGATATTGCCTTGGACCTCTGGTTCCCTCAGTGGTCTAGATCTTTGCAGGACTGAAGCCCTGATTCAGCAGGAACTGCTCTTTACACTTGCACTTTATTCTTGCACTGGATATAAAGGGAAAATGTTTGTTCTTTTGCTGGACAGAGACAAGGGTCTGTTACCTGTATTGTCTCCTCAGAAGGAGAGAGGCAGGCCAGCTCTATCAGGCCTAGCTTAGATTAAGAAGGAGAGCCCCCCCGCTCCAGTCCATCTGCCATGGTCCAGGCCTCAAAGGGAGAGAACTGCTGGACCTGATCCCCTTCCCAAGTGCCATTCCCTTCTCCTTTTGTGACATATCTTTTTAGATTGTAAGCCTGAGGGCAGGGAACCATCTAATTAAATATAAATATATATAAATATAAAATTTTATTTATATCCCGCCCTCTGGAAATCCAATCTGGGCGGCTTACAATAATAAAAACATATACAATGCCCATAAAAACATATACAATACAGCAAACCCCCTCCCCCCCTTAAAACAGTATTAAATCAGAAAGATTTTAAAATAACATTCACTTAATAAAACCAAAACTTAACCCAGTATAAAGCCCAGCAACAATTATCCTAACCATCTTTTGATGGGGCCACGCAAGGATCACTGGGGAGGGTTATTTGTACCCGAGGCCGGGATAATTAATCTGGAAAGGCCTGCCAGAAGAGATCCGTCTTGACAGCCTTTTTGAAGCTGTCTAATGATGTTAACTGACGGATCTTGTCCGGCAGGTCATTCCAGAATCTAGGGGCGGCGATTGAGAAAGCCCTCCGGGAGGTAGCCGCAAGCCTCAATTAACCATTTGTAAGCCACTCTGAGGGCCTTTGTTGCTGAAGAGTGGGATATAAATACTCCAAATGAATATTTGAGGAATAGCAATAAAAAAGCATGAATTAACTTATTTTGACCTCATTATAACTAAAATACAAGTAACGGGGGAAGGGGGAGGCAGCAGTAAATTCTGTTTCCTTAACTTTATAGTCTCTATAAGTGACATATGCATGAACCAACTTTTGCTTCACTGATGGCCAGATGCCAATGCTAAGAGCAAAAGGTGGAAATAAGAGATAATAGGATATAGCAGATCTCATCTCAGCAGGACCTGTCATTAATTTATTATCTACTAAGTCAACACAAAAATTTGGTAACAGGCTTTAATCATTGCAAAAGCAGCAAGTATTAAATTGATTTTTTAACCATGCAAGTTTCTGCAGTATCCTTACCGGGTTTACTATGATATGTAAATTCATTGAGCTTCACTTTTTCCACAAACATATGTTAGTTTTAAGCTAGAGAGAGCTTAGGGGAGAAGTCCACAGAGAAAAACAAGAAAGAGGGTCATTATGGAAACACATGGGAGGTAGCCATTGCCCATAGAACAATTTGGAATCTCCTAAACTCATCAATCATGAGAATCTATGAGAAAAAGATGTATTATGCCGTATGACCTCATTGCCCTCTAGCAGCAATGATCCAGAAGGAGACCAGCTGTCCCTGGCTAGGTTCCCAATAAGCTGCTCAGTAGCAGCTGCAAACAGTGCAAGAAAGGTTTAATAGGGCTTCATGTATCAATTCCCATTTTGATATTTTGTAGGATATCTATTTTTCAATAGGACAGACATTGACATGTTTAGTCTTCTGAAATGGCATCACATGAAGTTATCTCCATGTGGCAAGATGCTTTCTGAAGTAGCTTTCCAGTCAATTTGCTAATAGATAGACATACTGGAAGCTCAGCTTTGTCATATATGCCTGAGATATCAGGCCAACATGTAAAAACCACATGCATTTGGATTTAAAAAAAAAAAACCCTACTGCATTCATTTTGTGCATACACATATTGTGTGTATGTATGTGGTATCAGCCTGCACATTTTTTTTAATGGCTGTGCCATATACCTGACCATTATCTAAATCTTAGCCTGGACTTATCCACTGTTGTAGAAGGAGAAGGAAAATGGAGTTGAGTTCTCCATTTGGGATACTCACTCTTTCAGTAACATTTTTTCTTACTTCCATTTGTAGTGAGTAAGAGTGTTGGGTGAGAAGATGATGGATGGTGAAGATAGAGGCATGCTGATTGACAGTAGCTTGTTTGTTTTGTTTCCTCAGTTGCTTGGCAGCCAGACCAGCCTCAAAGAGGTGAGTTAAGGGCAAGAACCACTGATTTCAGCAGCAAATGAATTATGAACAGGTGTCCAGGCAGTGAAAGGCATCATGAAATCATGGTGCTGTGGGTTCCAAGGTCACTGGACCAGCACCAGGCTTCTAATAGAGCCAGCAGGAAACAATGCAAGCTTGGAGCCTAGGTTAACTGTTAGGTTAGCTGGGCAGCTGGTTTTCCTGACTGTTTCAAACATTCAGAATGCACATGAATGGGAGATGTCACCCCTGTTCAGAATTACAGCACAAAGATAAAATATTATATATATGAGGAAATATATGAAGTAACTGGAATCTAGAATGATAATACTGATAGACGTTGAATCTGCAAACTCAGATCTCTCTATCAAGCAACTCTAATGCAGGAGGAAAACAATAACAGTTTCAAGCAGAGAAGCATCATGTTAAAGAGTACTTTATCTCTGTACAAATCACCACTGCTTTTTCTAGAGCCCTATCCTGATCAACTTCTCTTCAACTGTAGTTGCTATATTATGGAAGGAGATGATTCAGGGAAGCAGCAGTGATGGGGGAGCAGAGGAATGATAAATCACCTATTTACCATTTACTATCT